CAGCGCTTCCCAGTGGAAGTACAATGTAAGCCATACGTGTGGTTTAAAATTTTCAAGCATATTTTTTAAAAGTTTTTTAAAAAGTGAAGTTAATTTTAATAATATATTTTATTTAAGCCAATTTTCTAAAATATTATCATTTCAAATGTAGTCCAAAAATATTGAGATATTCACATCATATTTTAACTGTCTTTAAAATCCTGTGCTCACTTTGTACTCATCACATATCTCAGTTCACATGCAAAATTTCCACCAGAAATACTTGATCTGTATTTATATTTCATACAATTTACACTTTAAAAAATTGGATTTATAAGTTGTCCCAAACACATTCAAAAGTTATCCAATAACTGAATTAATTATTAGTGTTTTGATGGAGATTTAAATTAAAACTAAGAAAAAATTAAAACGTAGTTCCTGGGTAGCATCTGCCACATTCCAATTGCTCGGCTGTCACCTGTAGCTAATGGCTCCTGTGATGAGCAGCGCAGGCCTAGTGATCACAAATCATGTGATAAGTGTACATTCCTGAAATATGCAATGGTGGTAGACTATTGGCAGAGCTCCTTAAAGAACTAAATGTGAATAAAGTAAAAAGTACAGATTAAACTCTCCTGTGATTACATAATATTAGTAAAATCTAAGAAAAACTAAAGCCTATTCAGAGGTTTTGAAACTAAAAGTTTCAAAGATATTAATTCAAACAATCAAAGGTCTGACCACCACCAGTGAATAAAGCCATGGGCATGGCCATTTGTGCTGAACATTCAGATATATGATGTTCTAATTACAGGAAGGAAATTTAGTTCAAATATTAACAAGTACGAAAGGAAATAGAGAGGGTGAGTTGACAAGAATGTTATTCAAATACCTGTGGAAAGAATAGTAAAATGCTAAAAGGACAAAATATTGCAAGTGAAATGAGAATAGCATAAAGAAAACTGGAAACAAAAATCAAACATTAAAATCAGAAACAAAATATTTGATCCAGACATAAAGTGGATAAATATAGCAGTGAATAGAAAGCTGTTTTAAATGGTAATATAGAAATTGGTAGAATCACTTGGGAAACTGGATCCTAATGATTTTAAGATGAAATGGGAGAATGAAAAACAAGGATTTATTTAAGAGTTAATGACAAAATCATAGTGATTCACTGCAATTTCCCAACTGTTTTAAGATGAATAGCCGGCAAAATGAAAAAGTTTAGTGGAAATTAATCATTTAGTCTGAAGCACAAAATCAGAACAATAGTTGTGTGTGTGTGTGTGTGTGTGTGTCCCTCCTATAAGCTTTCACAGAACTCTGCTTCTCTCCATCATGGTACTTTTCATACATTAGTGTAATTTCTTGTTTTCTTATTTCTCTCTCACACTGGACCTTCTAGTGCTTGAGGACAATTATTTATTCTTTGATCCTCAGCACCTAAAATAATACCTAGACTATAAGGACTCAGAGAATAAATGAATGAATGCATTAACAAAAAATCAAATATAAGTTTCCATGTCCAAGTTTTTATAACCTAAAAAAATGACAGCAATATGACAGACAAGGAAGAAAAGCATTTTTCCCTTTAGATGGATATTCTAGAAAGTCCTATAAATTAATCATATTCACAAAGAAACTGAGACACCTAAGACTGCAACCTAGCATCTTATCTTTAGCCGCAATAATGTCAACAATATAATAATGTCTTCATCAATAATGAATAAAGCCAAAAATCTGCATTCTTATTTTCTCATGTAAATCTTGAAACTTGGTCTTACTCTCTTGAACTGAAGACACTATTGAGAATTCAATTATAACTGCCTCTTTAAAATAAATGTCTCCTTAAAGATTTTGGTAGAACATTATATTTATTATCAAATATGCACCTTGGTTTAAAAAAACAGAGCAGCCCGGCCAACGTGGCTCTGTGGTTGAGCGTCAACCTATGAAGTAGGAGATCATGGTTCGAGTCCCAGTGAGGGCACATGCTTGGGTTTCAGGCTTAATCCCCATTGCGGGGTGTGCAGGAAGCAACCGATCAATGATTCTCTTTCATCGTTGATGTTTCTGTCTCTCTCTCTCCCTCTCCCTTCCTCTCTGAAATCAATAAAAATGTTTTTTGAAAGTAAATAAATATTAAAAACCAGAGCTGTTCTAAAAAAAATAAAAACCCTGTAAAATATGATCGACATAAATGTACTGTAGGGAGAATTATGCTGTAATATGAACAGCTTCCAACTGTTTTCCAAGAGACTGTAGCAGTAATGTGAATATCTTTCAATAAAGCTATAGTTTAATTTTTTCCAGGGAAATATTTTTAATAGGATTACGGACCCTTTTAACACTCTTAGAAAGAAAATGAATCCCATCAGCACTCTGGCATATAACTATTATAAAATTAAATAGAACAGTCAATCAGTGGAAATGAGAAACAAAACTTATTGAAGAAATGTACATAAGTATGCATGGTTTTAACCACACATACTCTTTAACAGAGAAAAGATTTCACTACATAGCAGCAAAACGACCAAACAGACTAAGAGAAATTAAGGGCTGAAAAGAAGGGGAAAACTGTGAAGAAACAACTTTCATGTTTTCCTTAAAACTGAATGAAAGCCTGGCCGGTGTGGCTCAGTGGTTAAGCATCAACCTATGAACCAGATCAAAGTTTGATTCCCTATCAGGGCACATGCCCAAGTTGCAGGCTTGGTCACCAGTAGGGGGCGTGCAAGAGGCAGCCAACTGATTTTCTCTCCTCATTGAAGTTTCTATCTCTCTCTCCCTCTACTTTCCTCTCTCTGAAATCAATAAAAAACGTACTTTAAAAAAAAACACAACTAAATGAACCGTATTTACTTTGATCAGTTCTCCTATCACTCAACTCTTAGGCCTGTCCCTAAGTCCCGTTTGGTTCTTCAGAAGGTACTTAAATGTTTCAGGAGGAAAAAAGATGCTTACTGATTAAGACACACTTCTGCACTCACAACTCTTTGTGCTTTAAGAGGAATTTTTTCAGGTCATTAGTTTATAATGTGAATGGCGCCTAGGGATATTTTGAAAGGAAAAAAAAAACTACTGTGCTTGGCAATGCAGTTTATGTGATTTGCGTCATCATTTATTTCAGCTCAATTTGGGGCCCAAACTAAACTCAAAATGAAGTGACCACATGTGTAACAGTTTCTGTCTCAGCATGCAATTATCATACAGAACTCTGAAAAGAGAACAGCCCTCCTTACCCCCAAAACCAAAATATTATAACCTCCTTAAAACACCCAAGTCCTTGCACGTTCTTAACTCTGCCATAGTACAAAAATAAAGTCAGCTTTACAAATAATTTGCAAAATAATTTTAATTATAAAAATGCCATTGGCATACCAAAATGCATAAATTCGGCTGGTTTTACCCTTGTTTTCACACACACACACACCCCACTAGACATTGCATACCGGCATGTTTGGGTCCAGTAACTGTGGAACTAAATCATTAGCCTCAAAGAAAGCAAGCATCTTCCTAAACCCAAGTTCATAGATTAAGGTGATTCGGCCATTATCATGATTATTCTGATCCACATATCATGTCACTATAGATCATTCAGAATCCTAAAGGTAACTAGAGATTTCCTAAAGTCTCCATTTCCCTTAAGGATAAACAAAACCACAGTCCACAACTTTTAAGGGTAAACAAAACAGATATTGATATTCCAGCTACTTTGTACAACAAAACAACTTTAAATACAGCTCCTCATGTTGTGACCCAACCATAATATTATTTTCACTGCAGCTTCATAACTGTAATGTTGCTACTGTTATGAATCGGAATGTAAATATCTGATATGCAGGATGGTCTTAGGCAACCCCTGTGAAAGGGTCCTTCGACCACCAAAGGGGTCGTGACTCACAGGTTGAGAACCGCTGCTCTAAAAGTTCCCCCAGTGAGTCCAAGGTGCAGCTAAATGGAGAACCAATGGCCTCACAAGTGTGGATCAATGACCCAGAAAGGACCAAGGTTGAGATCAAGCCAATGAAGACCCGAAGCAGAATTTACAATATAAATTACAAACTCAAATGCCTACAGGAGCCACTCAGTGAATGAAACAGGCGATGTATACACACATTTTTAGATTGTGTGAGTGCCAGAGAGCGCTACAAACTAGGGAGCTCACAGGGCAAGGGCTCCTGAGCTCTAGCTGATATTGCCGACAGGGAAATAACAGGTACCAGATCTCACTTATCAGAAAAAACACATCAAGATTTTTGTGTACAATTTCGAAACTCTTAAATGTTGGCTCCATTTAGAAAACAAAAACAATACTGTGGGTAGCAAACAAAACACATAATGACACACACGACACAGGTTTGGCCTTTAGGCTTCAGTTAATCACTTCTGGTCTAAAAGTTCGTTTCCGTTGCACAAAAATCAGAGCACCATCATCATCATCATCATCATCATCATCATCACCACAACAACAATACCTAACCTTCAGTAAGTACTTACATGTTAGCCAACATGCTAAGAGTTCTACACAGAGTCTCTCAATTCACCGGCACCAACCTTTGGGGGTCTATTATTATTCCCCTTTTCCTCGATAACCCCGTTCCCCAAGATCACATAGCCAGAAAGTGGCCATGCCAGGATACAAATGTTTGCAATATAACTCCACAGCCTATCCTGTGCTATATTTCTTTAAAGTTTTAAACATGCTTTAAAACCCCTCCACTGTTTGCACTTGGGTTTCTCCATAAATAAAATGAAGAGATTATACTGATTGATTTCTCAGGTCCTTTTTAACTCTCAAATTCAACAGTTCTGACTCCATCATACAACTCCTGGTTGCATTAAAAATGTTGGTATTTACATGAATCAGCCATGAATGCCCTGATAAGAATTGTCTGATCAAAGGAATGGAATGAATGAATGAATGAATGAATGCTCATCAAACAGTCTTTTGGAAAAGAAGCAAAGACATAAAATTACACTAAAATTCTTTTTCTCTACTACTATAGAAAGTTTACTTTTCCATTTTACCTTTTGAAAGATGAGTAAAGGTGCTCAGAAATTCTTCATATGTTTGCTCATGACAATTAACAAACTTATCCAAGACTTCTTTAATTATTTGATCTTCATCCATGGTCTCCATTTCTGGTATTTGGGCAGGCATTCCTATTCACGGGGCCACTTTATCTATGAAACGAAGAAAAGCATGAGCTGGACAGAGTCATGCAGTACCAGCCTCTCAGAAAATACTGTAATGAGCAGGTAAAAGAATTGCAAGACTCAAAAGGACAGGACAAGATAGTTACTACAACAGTAATAAGGTCTAGTTCAAGAGATCAGAGTTCATTCATATCCTGGCTTCTGAAGTGCTATCACAATTTTATTTTCTGCTTCAGTTTCCACATTTCCATCTCCTTAATTCGCGCCTTTTCATCTTTGTATCCCAAATGTTTAACAGCTCAGGAAAGGGCATAGAGCTGGCAGTCAATCAATATGAGGCTAAAATTATAGACAGTCCCTGACTTAAGATGGTTCAACTTAGGATTCTTTTTTTTATTTTAGCCACTGCCCAAGGAGTATCTGTTCTCATTTGAGCAGGTACTACAGTCTGATGTGGCTAGAAACTGGTCAAACACTCATGTAAACTTGCCCAATTACTTCACCTGTGCCTCACCCGGCATGGCTTCAAGTCCTTTCATCCTCCTGATCAAGCTACCTGGAAAAGGTTACACACCCCCTCCTTTCCTTTAAAACAGGCCATCCAGAAATGAAATCCGGACACGGTCTGGATACAGAGATGGGACTAAATCCCACACTAAATATTGCACTCCTGCTACATAGCTGAAGACCACGTTCACGTTGCTGGTGGCCCCCCCAGTGTCAGTTCACTCGCCATAACTAAATGCCTGTTGGCTAAGACACAGTGACTGCCTCAATCCACAACAGTTTAAACTTTGTCTTTAGCTATGATGTTTCAGCTTGTTAAATTCCATTCATTCTGGATGGAATGTTAGTCTCACCTAGCTTTGAGAAAATTGACTATCTATAAAAAGCACAGGAGCAATTACTGCCTAAGTAGCTGGTGTGATTCAGGGAGGATAGTAAAGAAGAGGGGTTCTCCAATACTGTCTAGCAAACAGAGAAAGCACCAAGATTCTTATATTTCTCTAAAACAAGAAAAAAGTCAGTTCTCGTTATTAATCATATTTATTTGGTTAGCTCAGAAAAAAAAATAAAAATCTTTTCACAAGATGATATCTAACCTCATTTGATGGAAGGATCTGATCTGAATTAACATGAAAGTACTTACAGCTTTAATTTTTAATTTCACTCAGAGCAACTATTCACATAGTTCCCTGTAGAAATACTATCTGGCTTGCTTTTGTGATGCTTTTCCAGACCCCACTGGAGATTTTGTGTAATATGTGGCATTTGCCCTGATTACCTTTGTAAACTCCAAACTATTCTGAAATCTGAAATACACCTGACCACAAGGTTTTAAATAAGAAATTGTGAAGCTACCTGTACCTCCCAGGATTGGAATGAGGATTAAATGAATAGACATGGCACCTCAAGAAGTGTTAGCCATGATGATCATGGTGATGACAATAGATCGGGCTTAGCACTTGGTCCTCTGCCTACACAAAGACTTCTTTTGACTGTCACTCCTCTGACTTTGAAGGCGCTGCTATTACCTTCAGATAAATCAAGATAAGTCCTCACTCACTACAACCCCAGATAAAACAGGGTGCTATAAAAGACAGGGTGAAAATAAAACATGGAGCTCAAAATGAAAGAAACTCAAAATGAAAGAAACTGTTTCAAACTATTTTTGTTGTTGTTGCTAATCCTCACCCAAGGATATTTTCCATTGATTTTTAGAGAGAATGCAGGGGAGGGGTGAGACACAGAGAGAGAAACATTGATGTGAGATAGACACATTGATTGGTTGCCTCCCACAGGAACCCTGACCTGGGCCAGAGGACCAGGCTGGGGATTGAACCTGCAACCCACATACGTGCCCTTTGATTGGAATCGAATCTGGGACCCTTCCGTCCGCAGGCCGATGCTCTATCGACTGAGCAAAACTGGCTAGGGTTCAAATTACTGTATGAATTAGATATAGAAAAAAGCATCAATTAAGGTTTATGAAAATTTACTTGTAACACTGCCAACCTTCAGCAATCCAAAGTTTAATCAATTATGTTTGGAGTTGCTAGATAAAAAATAATAATAAAGAAATTCCCAGGTAGCTATTTTGCCACTACCAGTAGGACATGTACTTAATTCCAAGAATGTCAATCCAATTTTCCAGAATTGAACCCTATCAAAACTCTAACAATGTTGCTCGAACCATCTCGGGTTAACTACTTCAGCAAGCAAACACCACACAGCAACAGTCACCCGTATTGGAGATTGCTGTAGATGTCTCCTTTAAGACTTTTAGTGATGACAGAAATTCCTTTAAACTTCCCAATTCTCAACCTGGGATAGTTTGAGTGGTTCGCCTTAACACATGTCAGCTTCACTAAAGGCAAATAATTCATGTTTTGGGGCTTAGAAGCTCCACATGAAAGACCCAGAACCTCTGATGATCAGTCAATGTGTATAAATATCTACCGGTAAAGCATAAGTATCACCATCACAATCACAGCCTCCAGGAGGAAACACTGGGAGGAAGCATTGCTCTGCTCGGACGACTAAACATCACAGGAAACCACAGGTTTGGTGAGGAGCAGGGTTCTCTTACCGAGCCGCCGAGCTACAGCACGGGAGCCCTCCCTGGAGTCGTTTTCTACCACCAGCCAAGCCCGTCGTGTGTGTGTGCTCTCTGAAAGGAGGTTATTATGAAATACAGGATGTGGAATTACCACCATTGACTTAGCACATCGTTGATGTTTACCTTCAGATCCCTGCTCCATGCAGCTAACCTACACACAACTTTCAAAGACAAGAGTGTAAGCCTTAAGAAACAAGATGCCATGAGCTAGTCTCCTCTCAATGTACATAGCCTGCTTTTTAAAATTATTTTATTGCTGAGAGGGGGGGGGAAGAGATTGAGATTGTTTGGTTGTTCTACTTATTTATGCATTCATTGGTTATTTCTTGTATGTGCCCTGACTGGGGATTGAACCCACAATCATGGCATACTGGGTCAATGTTCTGACCAACTGAGTGACCTGACCAGCGCCATAACCTGCTTTTTAACAGCACAGAGAGAGCTCTATGTCCACAAACAAGTTTTTTTAAAAAAAACTGGGAGCCTTACCACTGATACTTAAATAAATAACACATTTTTAAAGATTTGTCCAGGAGCCATCAAAACGCACTTCCTCAAATTCTCATAGTTCTGCTCAACAAAAATCTCCCACTGTGCTCAAAGGTAAGATGGGATATTATCAAAATAAGTCTCCCTGCGTAAGGAAACGAAACCATCAACCTTGATATTTCATAGACTGGGTCTCCCTTTGTAGTTTGGAAAATGGACAAATCTTAAAAAGACCAAGTTGCATTGTAAGGGTACTGAGTTAATTTATGATAGAAGAGACCCGGTGTGAACTAA